TACAGCTAGGGGTCTGAGTGTATCAATTGGGACATTAGATAATCACTACTACAAGACCTTGATGAGAGGAAGAGGGCTGCTGTTTGCTGATCAACAGTTGATGGCTTATGAAAAGACTGCTACAGCAGTAACAGATTACGCTATTGATGATGGGATTATATGTAGGACAGAGTATGCTCATGCCATGGCTAAACTGTCCAATTTTGGTGTTCTTACTGGATCCGAAGGAGAGGTTCGGTCACATCTAAATTCGTAGATTAGATAAATTCATGACTTTTCCTAGTGCTTGGATCATGGCACACACATGTACAGAGTGAATTGTTTGTTTGGATGAATGCTTAGATCACTATCTGATTTTTCTCATTATTGCATATCTTTTGTATGTACATCAATCAACAAATATGTGTGTCTGAGGAATTGCACTAAGGTATATCAAGAAAAAGAATAGTTTAAATCAAGAACTTGTCAAGATTTGATCAAAATTCGATTATATTATATAAAAATAATGCTGTGAGTCCTTTCTTTTCCCCGAAGCAAATACTACAGGAAAACCTAATCTGTTGGTACAAGCTAAGTTGATGCCGCCAAATTGAACAAAAAAGCGTAAAGATTTTCCAGATAGTTGTAAAGATTATTATAAACACGACGACACAATCTTTCCAAGTTGTAAAGATTATTATAAACATGACGACACAATCGGATTTAACAAATATGTACGTATATCAATATAACATGAAACAAGAATATAAAGAAGATCATACCTATTTGTTGTAGAACGTTAATTCAATGAATTGAAATCAGATCTGAGGAGGATAGGAATTGAAAAGAGACGGCTGAAGTTGTTCTTCTTCATCTATCTCAATTCCCTATGCTTCTCAGATATGGTATCAATCCTTGAAATTATTTTTTGTTTCTCTACGTATCAAATTTACGTAACATTGAAATTCTTGATACGTCCTGTAAGTCCCTCAGATGTGGCTTCAAACAACGAAATTCTTCCCATATACCTTCTCCCCTCTTTTTACCATCTCTATTTGTAATAATACTGCAACAAAACCTATAAAAAAAAACTATTTTACTTTGGTTTCCTATTCCTATTTAACTAGGAATCCCACTTTTTCTTGCCAAAATATTAAAAAACATAAAGACTTTTAAAAATATGCGGGAATATTTTTACAATTAACTTATGTTACAAACTACAGGACGTATTTAGTATTATTTATAAACAAAATTGACTATAAGGTACTTTTAAAAAAAAGAGACTATAGGATACTTTAAATTTATATTCTCTTTAATTTATCTTTTACTAGTAAAATTATCTGTGCTTCGCGCGAAAATTTAATATCACAGAATTTATAAAATAATACTTAAAACCTATCAGTCATTAAAATTAAAACACTATATTATCTTACATACAAGATTACATTGTAACAAACATTAATAATCTAAAGGAAATGAAAATTATTACATCTTATCATTTATCCTCAATAACATAAACATAAATTAATGATTGTAAAAATACATACCAGGATCTGTAACATAAGCAATGGTGCCAGTGATCCACTCAACAAGAGTAAAATACACAAATATTTAATTGTGAAGAAAAAGAGGAGGAGGTTCAGAATTTTCATTGTTTTAAAATGAGAGGAAATCCCTCTATTTATAGACAACAAAGGGTAGTGTGAACAAGTGTTTATTGTGCCTTATCGGAAAGGTTACAACTATTTGGAAAAGTTGCAACCCTCTGGAAAGGTCACAACATTTCATAAAAGTCACAACTTTTCACAAAAGTCGCAACTCTTCACCGAAGTCGCAACTCTTCATAAAAGTCACAACTCTTCATAAATATCACAACTTTTCATGAAAGGGGAAGGTTAGTTTTGGTAATAAATAAATTAAAACTATTTGTGGTAGCGCCACATAGGCGGGCCTAAGATTCTCTTTTGTATATGATATATGAATATGATTTCTAATTATTTTTTTCAAATTTAATTTTCCTTACATAATTTATGTTACATTTCTTTACTTCTCATTTTTCAAACTTTACTTCATTTGCTTTCATGTAATTTCTCAACCTCCAAATATTAGAAGGAATAATTCATTTACAAACTTGACGTTTAATAAGTCATGTCATTAAAGTTGATTTTCTTTGTTGTATGAGATTATAGACAAATTTGAAGTGATGTTTGAATTAAATATTGATTACTCTTTATTGAACATTTGAACTATATATTTTATGAAATTATGATTGTAATTATATATGTTTTGGTCTGCATTCTATGATGTTCTTGCAAAATGTGGATTTAATTAGAATTTTTATTAATTAATTAATTAAATTATTATTATTATTATTATTATTTTATAATATGAAATAAGAATATATAATTATTATTCATAACTATATATTTTTTAAAATAATATAGTATCTGGACTAAACAAAACAATAATAGGAATATATAGTTAAACGATCATATAGTGCATATTTTCACAACAGTACATTTTGGTAATCTTTCTAATCCCTCTACTTTATTCTTCATTCACTAAATCTTTTTTGGAATATACATATTCTGAAATTCTATTTTTTTTTGGTTCTTTTATCATTTTGAAGGACATATCATTTAAACGGAGAAGTGTTAAGTACTAAGAGTATTATATAAAAATACTGTTATATAAAAGTCTAATTGTAATATTTTTCACATTATTATTGATGTAGTGGAATTGTTTGATTTGTTACAAACTCTAGGAGATGATTTAAAATTGAATCTTAAAGAAATTATTTCACCCTTTTTGATGCCTTACATTTGAGAAGACAGTGGAGATGGATGTAAATTAATGCACCTATTTGTTGATATAGGGACAATCGGATTTAACAAATATGTACGTATGTCGATATAGCATGAAACAAGAATATAAAGAAGATCATACCTATTTGTTGTTGCTTTGTTGTAGAGCGTTAAAATTTAATGAATGAAATCAGATCTGAGGAGGATAGGAATTGAAGAGAGATGGCTGAAGTTGTTCTTCTTCATCTATCTCAATTCCCTATGCTACTCAGATATGGTATTTTCCCCATCTTCTCTACGTATCAATATACCTACCTATTTATAGCAGTCGACAAAACCTACTACAATTAGGAAAAACAAAACCTACCAAAAAAGTAAACGAAAATTAGGAAAAACAAAACCTACCAAAAAAGTAAACGAAAATTACCAAAAACAAAACCTACCAAAAAAGTAAACAAAAATTACCTATAACAGTCGACAAAACCTACTACAATTAGGAAAAACAAAACCTACCAAAAAAGTAAACGAAAATTACCAAAAAAGGAGTAATTATTTTGGTTTTCTATTCCTACTCCAGCTAGGAATAGGAATTCTGCTTTTACACAATTTTCTTCCAGAAATATTAATAATTAAACAAAGAGATTTAAAATATAGGGAATATATTTACAATTAAATTATATTTCAGGGGTATTTCATAAAAATTATCCATAAATAAACAAAGTTGACTGCTATCGGATACTTTTTTTATATTCCTCTTCATTTATCTTTTAATTTCTATGCCCCAAATATTCAACTTTGGTAATTTTCGTTTACTTTTTTGGTAGGTTTTGTTTTTCCTAATTGTAGTAGGTTTTGTCGACTGTTATAAATAGATAGGTATATTGATACGTAGAGAAGACGCAAAAAATAATTTCAAGGATTGATACCATATCTGAGGAGCATAGGAATTTGAGAATAAGATGCAGAAGAACAACTTCAGCTATCTCTCTTCAATTCCTATCCTCCTCAGATCTGATTTCATTTATTGATTTAACGCTCTACAACAAAGCAACAACAAACATGTATGATCTTCTTTATATTTTTGTTTCATGCTATATTGACATACGTACATATTTGTTAAATCCGTTTGTATGTGTCGTCGTGTTTATAGTTATCTTGAAAATCTTTACCCCTTTTTGTTTAATTTGGCGGCATCAACTTAGCTTGTACCGACCGATCGATTAGGTTTTCCTGTATATATGATCTGCTTGGGAGAAAAGAAAGGGATCACAGCATTATTTTTATATAATATAATCGACTTTCGATCAAATCTTGATTTAAACAATTCTTTTTCTTGCGTAAAGATGATAAGTAAAAGATTAGTGCAATTCCTCAGACACACATACAAAGGATATGCAAGAATGAGAAACATCAGATAGAGATCTAAGCATTCATCCAAACAAACAAGTCACTCTGTACATGTGCGTGCCATCATCCAAGCACTAGGAAAAGTCATGAATTTATCAAATCTACGAATTTAGATGTGTGAATTAAACATTGATTACTCTTTATCGAACATTTGAACTATATATTTTATGAAATTATGATTGTAATTATATGTGTTTTGGTCTGCATTCTATGATGTTCTTTCAAAATGTGCAATTAGTTAGAGTTTTTATTGATTAATTAAATTAAATTATTATTATTTTATAATATGAAATAAGAATATATAATTATTATTCATAAATATAATTTTTTAAAAACAATATAGTAGCTGGACTAAACAAAACAATAATAGGTATATATAGTTAAACGATCATCTAGTGCATATTTTCATAACAGAACATTTTGGCAATCTTTCTAATCCCACTACTTTAATCTTCGTTCACTACATCTTTTTTTGGAGTATACATATTCTGAAATTAATTTTTTTTTTCTTCTTTTATCATTTTGAAGGAGGACATATCATTTAAACGGAGAAGTGTTAAGTACTAAGAGTAGTATATAAAAATACTGTTATATAGAAGTCTAATCGTAATATTTTCCACATTAGTATTGATGTAGTGAAATTATTTGATTCGTTACAAACTTCAAATAATTTAAAATTGAATCTTAAAGAAACTATTTCACCCTTTTTGATGTCTTACATTTGAGAAGTCAACAATGGTGACGGATGTAAATTAATGCACCTATTTGTTACACTTAATTAAGTTCAGGTAGGTCACAAGCTTCATGGTAGAAAATGAAATACTTTAAAAAAAATATCTAGTCAATGCCCCTAGCATGAAATTACATTTTTGTCCATTCAACAAGATATTTATAAGGTCACTTGTTGTGACAAATATAAGTACATTAATTTGAGAAGCTAATTTTGTGTGTCATCTAAATACATAAACTTTCTGGCAAATAAAGGTCAGGTACAAAACATAAAAGCTTGCAAGTAATAAACGATATGATCAAGTATTCAAGTGAATGGACTTTTTGTGCCAGACAGATTTTAGCTATATAAGCTTGTAGAAAATCTTAATATTTTTATTTAGTATTTTTCAATGTACTAAAAGAAAAAAAATATATGCAGTCGTTTGTTGCTAGTATGCGTTAACCATGATTTCTATTTACCACAAAAAAATAATTCTTTAATTTCGTGAGACTCTGCTTAGTAAATGAGTCGATTATTCAGATGGTTGTATTATTTTTGTAGGTTCTTTATTTTTATTACATCGCTGTGGATTGCCACGTGAAATAGCAATGGAACTTTTTCATACATTTGTAATTCGTGGTCTAATTAGACAACATTGATCATGCTTCTAGGAGTTGCTAAGAGAAAAATTCGAGAAAAAGAATCCATTGTACGGGAAATACAGGACATTACTTGTTCTAATTTATTTGGTCTAAAATATAAGGAATTCAGTAGCTGATCAAATTGCATGATTTTTTTTTAATCATTATTGGAATAGTAAGAAAACCTTTTCATATATATAGAAAATATGGAGATGTTATATTCCACACATACAAAGGACAATGATGATAAGAACATTTCCAAGTTGCAACCAAGGAAGATTTGATTTTGAACTTGAAATCACAATAAATAAATAAATAAATATATATATATATATATATGTGTGTGTGTGTAAAAAAAGATAGTACTAGATATATATGGAAGTGAATGGACAAAAAAAGAAAATGATTTACATGGAAACAAAAAAATATGAATTGTCTGCCCAAAGGAATGGTCTCCAAATGCAAGCAAAACGGCTACAAGTAGCAGCCAATATAAATTCAGAATGACAACAAAACAAGTAAAACACTGACCCAAAATGAAATTAACCAACCATTTTCACTCCTTCCTTACCCATTTTGGGATGAGATAAGACTATGCTCATTCTGACACGTGGCACCCCTTCTTGTGGCTTAATTAACATATCTAATTATTAGCTCACCTACCCCACCCCCACCCCAAATAAAAATCTCCCAAATTAATGTCATTAGGACGGAGTTATAATTCTACTTATGGATTCGATAAAATTTAACTATACCAGTTTAGACAAAAATTCCACTAAGTAATTTATTCAGGACCCTTTAAATTGTGTATTCTAAAATCATGAACTCAAAATTCTAGCTTTATTGTGTATCGTGGTTATTGATTATTTAAATGTCAAGGACATGATCCAATGGTTACAAATGGACTAAATGAGGGTTGGTTAATTTGTGACCGTTAGATGGGAAAGTTAAGTGAAACCTTATCATTATATATAGAGGGGGAGACTACAAAGCAATAACCCTCTTGAGTTCAAGGGAAGCAAAGATAAACACTCAGAAATGGCTTCTTCAGTGATGTCCTCAGCAGCTGTTGCCACCCGCGGCAATGGTGCACAAGCCAGCATGGTTGCACCCTTCACTGGCCTCAAGTCCACCGCCTCTTTCCCTGTTTCAAGGAAGCAAAACCTTGACATTACCTCCATTGCTAGCAATGGTGGAAGAGTCAGATGCATGCAGGTTTGTGTATACTAGTCAAATTAAACAACAAAATTCATTGACCAAAATGTTATAGTCGCTAATTTGTTTGATTAACTATTTATGTATAGGTGTGGCCACCAATTAACATGAAGAAGTACGAGACTCTCTCATACCTTCCTGATTTATCCGACGAGCAATTGCTCAAGGAAGTTGAGTACCTATTGAAAAATGGATGGGTTCCTTGCTTGGAATTCGAGACTGAGGTTAACATTGATCTCCTCTGTTTTTAAAATTTACTAGTTAGTACTAAGTTTTTAATATGTTGTGTTGTGGGATATATATGTGCAGCACGGATTTGTGTACCGTGAGAACAACAAGTCACCAGGATACTACGATGGCAGATACTGGACCATGTGGAAGTTGCCCATGTTCGGGTGTACTGATGCAACCCAGGTCTTGGCTGAGGTGGAGGAGGCAAAGAAGGCTTACCCACAGGCATGGATCCGTATCATCGGATTCGACAACGTTCGTCAAGTGCAGTGCATCAGTTTCATTGCTTACAAGCCCGAAGGATACTAAAATGCCAAGTTTTAATTAATGTAATGTATAACTGACCCTATGTATTTAGGGGAAGCTTGTTTGAATCCTCCTTAAGTTTTTCCCTGGAGAAACTGTATTAATTTTACGTTGTTGTTTCCCTTCATCTTTCGAATTAATGGCATTTGTTTTAATACTAATCTGCTCCTGAAACTTGTAATCAGTTATAATTTATCCAAGTAATATCTCTCAGAAATGGCTTCTTCAGTAATGTCCTCAGCAGCTGTTGCCACCCGCGGCAATGGTGCACAAGCCAGCATGGTTGCACCCTTCACTGGCCTCAAGTCCACCGCCTCTTTCCCTGTTTCAAGGAAGCAAAACCTTGACATTACCTCCATTGCTAGCAATGGTGGAAGAGTCAGATGCATGCAGGTTTGTGTATACTAGTCAAATTAAACAACAAAATTCATTGACCAAAATGTTATAGTCGCTAATTTGTTTGATTAACTATTTATGTATAGGTGTGGCCACCAATTAACATGAAGAAGTACGAGACTCTCTCATACCTTCCTGATTTATCCGACGAGCAATTGCTCAAGGAAGTTGAGTACCTATTGAAAAATGGATGGGTTCCTTGCTTGGAATTCGAGACTGAGGTTAACATTGATCTCCTCTGTTTTTAAAATTTACTAGTTAGTACTAAGTTTTTAATATGTTGTGTTGTGGGATATATATGTGCAGCACGGATTTGTGTACCGTGAGAACAACAAGTCACCAGGATACTACGATGGCAGATACTGGACCATGTGGAAGTTGCCCATGTTCGGGTGTACTGATGCAACCCAGGTCTTGGCTGAGGTGGAGGAGGCAAAGAAGGCTTACCCACAGGCATGGATCCGTATCATCGGATTCGACAACGTTCGTCAAGTGCAGTGTATCAGTTTCATTGCTTACAAGCCCGAAGGATACTAAGTTCTAAAGATAACTAATTGCCCTATTTCTATAGGGACAGTTTGTTTGAATTCTCCTTTGGTTTTTCCCGGGAGAAATTGTATTCATTTTCCCTTGTTTTCCTTCTTCTTCTATTCAGTGTATGATCAATTCGAATTTCAATCAAGTTTACAAGAACTATTAATGACATTTGTTTCTTTACTAATCTGTTTGTGAAAATTGCTTAATTTGTGATGTATATCAGTTATATATATATAGCTAGCACCACAAACCTGGATTTGGCTTTAGAGTACTTCACTCGGGCCATACACCATGACAATGGCCTCATTGTATGCCCTGCTTAGAAATAGACCAATTTTAATTTGTTGCTATTGTAATTATATATGGATATTATTTTAGTTATTCGACTATTTTCAAAAGTGATCGGTAATTTCTAAGTATCATAAACAAGTATAGAATGAACACGAGAGAAAAAACAGTGCAGGGGTCGCAAATTGATTTTCATCTCTAAAGTTCTGATAGTATTATTCTTACAAATGAAAAAATTGTCTGTCTATAGTTAGAAAGAATAGCAGGATATTTTTAGCATATTTTAAAAAAAGCATATCCATAAGTCGATGAGATTTTGGATAAAATTACTATCCCAGTTTGAGAGTGTTCATCCTAACTTTCTTGTACTTTTCCCTGTTGAGGATATTTATTTAAATTATTAATAAAAGACGAGTAGACATCTAGCTAGTGATATTAATAAAATTAAAAAAAATAGCATGCATTGGTTCCAAATAAGTGTACATTGGGTATGACTACAACAACATATTCAGTGAAATTCCACAATAGGAAATTGAAATTGAGTGGGAACCAAATGTTTTTTGCAGAGAATATGATGAAGCATTAAGAAAAAACTGACAAATTGTTCGCTGAAGCTACTCTGTTGAAGTCGTTAAACCATGAAAAGATTATGAAGTGCTTCTCTTATTAGTTCGATCTCAAGTCCAAAACTCTCAACAGGATCACAGAGTCATTCCCCTCAGGCAGCTTGAAAAAGTATTGGTCCAAGTACGATAATGGCGTTGCTATTGATTTGGCGAGTATCAAGAATTGGGGCAGGCAGATTCTTGAAGGTTTGAACTTTCTTCATTGAAAGAGCCCTAAGATCATCCATCGAGACATCCAGTGCAACAATGTGTTCATTCAGAGTGGTGGGAAGCAAGTTATGATTGGAGATTTTGGGTTGGCAGAAGAGCTTCACTTGCTAAGGTTCTTGAACTATCACTATACATTTATAACACCTGCACAATCAGCATAGCTGAATATCATTCAACAATGGAGAAAAGAAGGGTGGATAAGAGAGTGACTTAAATATCACATCAGGATTGCGATGTAACCCAGCCTACTAGTACTTTGATTGTGGAAATGACATAGATAAGCTTCAAACAATAACATTTACCACGGCCCCCCACCCCACCCTTACCAAGGAGGGTTCTAAATTTTCATTTGTGAGCAATAACCAAACTTTGCGAGCTCATGAACATGATTCTAATAATCCATCTCATTGATCTACTTCTAATTCTACACGATGAAAGTTATTTACTCCAAAAATAAAGCTTCTTTTTTCGCTTGACAACCTACATTTACAATTTTAACTCTGCTAACTATGCAATGAAAAGTACTAGTAATGCATAATAGTTACTATTAAGTTTGATTGCAAAAAAGACGTACATTCATCAAATAAACATGTTTAACAATAATCACAGTAGTTTCAACTTCCAAACTTATGATATAACGCATGATAAGATGATAAATCATAATCATCATCAACAGCTGCAAATTACTATCATTCAGACAAATCCATGATATTGTAGTGCAAAGAAGACACACAGCATGTCAAATTGTTAGCTTTCTACTTTTTCTTGATTGATTTATATGGTCATCCATCGATCTTTTGAAAGGTACACAAATTTATTAGTGTTTCCCGTTGTGCATTTATATCCAACGCAGTGAAGTTCGGCTAATTGTAACTTTCCTGCTAAATCCATACTTTATTCATTTGAGTCCCATTAGCCAAAAGTCAGTCTGTATTACAGATTTTAAGTATGTATAAAAAAGTCGATCAATCAGCATCTAAACTTGAACTCTACTTCAAATTATTCAATCACCCAATCAGTTCCAATAACAATCTTATCTAAGAATTCAGTTCCAAGAACAAACTTCTCTGAAAAATAAATGTAAAAATACTCAATGCTAAAAGAAACTGAAGTTAACGTCATCCTGTATGTGGTAATATATCGTATTGATAATGTTCTAAAAAAACATGTTATTTGATGGGTGTTAGTTAATGGAAAAAAATTCGACTAACCAGAATATCAAGGAGCATTTGAATTGCCGCGTTGCTTTTCGATTTCTTGCTTTTGTTTCTCAACAAGTTTATCCAAAGCAGCTTGCAGAGCATCCTGACCTCCAATAAGCAACCTGGTGATGACTTCTGGATCTCTCTCAAATTGTGCCTCCTCGAACTCCTTTCTGACATTTTCTCTAAGAACATCCCGCCAGGGAATGCCTTGAGAGTTGGCCCACATGAAGAACCGGGTGGCGCGGATGACATCTCGGTAGAGACTTAGAGCCTCGCGTCTACTGCTAGTGAGTCGTTGTCTATTTAGGAGGTCGTTCTCATCATCATCAAGGCTCTTCTCCTTTTTGACCACATGTCTATCCAATAGTTCCTCCATAGTGTCTGGACCATGGTGCAGGAGGCGATAGTGATGCAAAAGCATCTTGACTTGAAACTATGATTCACAGCAGTTGAAAGATTTTGAAATTTTTGGATATTAGTGATAAGATGCAGAGTATTCAACAATGGAGGAAGAATTATAGAGGAGATGTGTGAAGATACATGGGAGAAGAGAAACTGAGAAACCTTCTCATTATCAATCAACACAACTAACTTGAGCAAAGCTCATACATCTGTATTTAAAGCTAAATGCTACAGCTTAACTAACTCTGACAGAATTGTAACTAACTTGTTTAACAAACTAACTAATCAACTAATTAATCACAAACAACTTTAATTAAACTTAATTGGACAGCTGGCATATACGTATAACTTCACACCCCTCCTCAAGCTAATGGTTGGAAGAGGTTCTTCAAACCAAGCTTGGACATTAAGTAGTCATGGGATAGTCTGCCCAGACTCTTAGTAAGCAAGTCAGCTAACTGCTCCTTTGTAGATACATGCTGTGTTTGAACCAAATTTTGTACTAGTTTCTCCCTTACAAAATGACAATCGATGTCTATATGTTTAGTTCTCTCATGAAATATTGGATTAGCTGCAATTTGAATAGCAGCTTTACTATCACAAAACAGCTGCACTGGTCGACTGATGCTAACACCCAACTCTTTATACATGCCTTCTAGCCAAGTTATTTCAGCCACAGTAGAAGCCATGGATCTGAACTCAGCTTCTGCTGAGCTCTGGATACTGTGTCTTGTTTCTTCGACTTCCAAGACACTAAAGCATTACCAAACATTACAATGTAGCCAGTGACAGACCTCCTTGACTCAATACATCCTCCCCAATCAGAGTCACAATATGCTGTTAACTTGTCTGTGTCTTCTGAAGGCATAAGTAAACCAAGTCCAGGCTCAGCTTTAATATATCTTACTACCCTCAAGGCAGCCTCCATATGTGATTGTTTTGGTTTGTGCATAAACTGACTTAGCACTTGCACTACATAGGTGATGTCAACTCTGGTCATTGTTAGATAGAGCAATCTTCCAACTAGTCTTTGATAGGGACCTGCATCATCCAGAATTCTATCAGTGTCTTCTGTTTGTGATCCTTTTATATGATCATCAAAGTCAACAGAAGTCAATTTGATATTTGCTTCCATAGGTGTGCTAGCTGGCTTAGCTCCACCTAATCCCATCTCAGCAATCAACTCTAGAGCATACTTTCTCTGGCTCATGTGAATGCCCTGCTGTGACCTGGCAAATTCAATGCCTAGGAAGAACTTTAATTGGCCCAAATCTTTCATCTTGAATTTGAGCTTCAGATCATTTCTAGTCTGTAGAATTATCTCTGAACTACTGCCAGTAACAAGTAAATCATCGACATATACTAACACCACAACAATCTGAGAATCTGCCCGTTTGGTAAACAAAGAGTAATCAAAATGACTTTGACAGAAACCAAGGTCTATCAGAGCTTCAGTGAGCTTCTTGTTCCACTGTCTAGGTGCCTGTTTTAGACCATATAGAGACTTGTTGAGTCTGCACACTTTACCAATCCCCCGCTGACTACCAAACCCCTGAGGAATATGCAATACACTTCTTCATAAAGATCACCTTGGAGGAAAGCATTATGAACATCCATCTGGAAAATAGGCCAGTGTTTAGCAGCAGCCACAGCAACCACAGACCTCACCGTGACCATTTTAGCTACAGGAGAGAAAGTTTCAGTATAATCAAGGCCCTCTTTTTGACTGAACCCCTTAGCAACCAGTCTTGCCTTGTACCTTTCAACTTCACCATTGGCTTTGTATTTGATCTTGAATACCCATTTACATCCAATAGGAGATTTACCAGGGGGGAGATCAACTAAAGTCCATGTGTGATTATCGTCCAAAGCTGCAATTTCTAGCTTCATAGCATCAATCCACAGAGGATTCTTTACTGCATCATAGTAGCTAGAGGGTTCTAAAGAAGCTGAATATGCAGCTAAAGCAGTGCTATAAGACTGGGACAAGCAGTCATAGGCAACATAATTGGAAATAGGAAACTGACAAGAGACAAGGCCCTTAGAAGGAGCTACATAGTCCTGCATCCATATAGGAGGTTTGGTGGTCCTGTGGGATTTCCTAGGAGCCACATCAAGAGGCAAAGTAGGAGGCTCAGAGGGAACAGGGTCAGAAGGCATAGGAGACTCAGCACATGCAGTGGGAGGATCAGGAACAAGGGTACTAGACACATGAAACTGCACATTATCAGGAGGAGAATAATCAGAAGAGAGTGAAGACACAGGAAACAGAAGAGAATTCTTATGAACTGGATGATGAAAAGGAAAAACATCTTCCTTGAAAAGGACATCTCTACTGACTATGAAGTCTTCCTCAGGAAGAGTACACATGATATAGCCCTTCTGAGTAAGAGAATACCCAAGAAGAACAGCAGGAAGAGCTCTAGGAGAGAATTTATCGGACTTTCGAAGACACGTAACATATCCCAAACAGCCAAAGACTCTGAGATGACTAAGATCAGGAGGTTGTTTATGAAGGACTTCAAAAGGAACCTTCCCCTTAAGAGTGGAAGAGGGTAACCTGTTGATTAGATAGACAGCAGTTGTAACACAGTAACCCCAGAATTTAAGAGGGACATTGGATTGAAACCTTATAGCCCTAGCAGTGTCTAGGATATATCTGTGCCTCCTTTCAACCACCCCATTTTGTTGAGGTGTGTATACACAGGAACTTTGGTGAACAATACCAAGAGTATTTAACAAATGTGAGACTTGAGAATTAAAAAACTCACACCCATTATCAGTTCTGAAGAATTTAACAGATGCAGAATACACATTCTTAATCATCAACATGAAATTTGTGAGAGCTACTATGACTTCAGCTTTGGAGGTGAGAAGAAATAACCAGGTATACCTGGAGTGATCATCAACTAGTGTAAGGAAATACTTTTTACCATCATGAGTGGGGACTCTGTAGGGACCCCATACATCACCATGAATGAGTGTAAAGCAGACATCAGATAAAGTAGAACTAAGCGGAAAAGGAAGTCTGGATTGTTTAGCCAAAGGGCATACAGTACAATGATCAGTATCAGAATCAGCAAAACAAACATTATCAAAGTATTTCAGCTTCTTTAATGTGTGTAGAGGCACATGCCCTAGTCTTTTATGCCATAAAGCTAGGCCTATGCTATTTTTCTGCTTTCTAACTAGAAACGAACAACAACTGGTCTTATGGAGACTTTTATTCTCAGCAGCTTGCTTCAAAAAATTGCAGGAAGAATTCATCACATATAGACCTTGATCATGTTGACCAATCCCTCTCACCTGTCCACTGTAGAGATCCTGAAAAATACAGAAATCAGGATAGAAGCTGACGAAGCACTTTAAGTCCCTTGTAAGCTTTGAAACTGACAGTAGATTGTGTTGAAAATCAGGTAAACACATCACATTATGAACTGTCTGATTATCCAACACTGTAGTAGATCCTAAGTGACTAACTTTTGCAATACTTCCAGTAAGCAAGGACACATTACCTGATCTAGAATTAGAGCAGGATTTAGCATCAAATAGAATCCTAGGATTGTTTCCCATGTGATGAGTAGCCCCCGTATCCACTATCCAGTTAAAACCACCAGTAGGAGAGGTAGTATAATTGGACATACATGATGCCAAAAGAGTTGTACCATTACTTTCATTTCCCTGATCAAGGAGGTGAAGAAGTTGGTGATATTGCTCAGGTGTGAAGTAGGGAGCACTTGTATATGGTCCTGGGGAAGCCATCTGTGATGAACTTTCTCCAAACTGACCTGCAGAGCTAACATTAGGAGAATTTGGGAACCCTCTAGATGCATTTATAGAACTACCTGCATAACCTCCAAGATCAGATGCATGATTCCTATTACATTGAGAGTTAGCATCTCCAGCAGCATAGTGAACAGTCCTTCCCCTTCCAGTTGTGGGTGAGTTGCTAGACTTCTTCTTGAAAGTGTGCTTGAAGTTAGCAGGGTAACCATGTAGTCTATAACAAGTACCACTGGTATGACCTGTATGATGACAGTAATCACAGTACAGACCTTGATTGCCTTTTGCAGTTTTAAGGCTGGAAGATGATCCATTAGGCATACCAACACCAAATGTGGAATTATCACCAGAACTAGAGAAACTTCCTCCATGATATCCAGAATTGGAGGATGTATTACTAGAGCTTGATCCCTGTTTAAAATTGCCTCTATTACCAGAGCTGTAGAATGCAGTACCTTCACTCACCTCAGCAGATTGAACTGCTTTGCCCAAAGATCTCTGGCTTTCCTTTGAAACCACCATGGAATAGGCTTGGTTAATGGAGGGTGTAGGAGACATTAAGAGAATCTGACTACGACTCTGAGCATAGGAATCGTTTAGGCCAGTCAAAAACTGCAGCAATCTCTGATACTCGAAGTGATGCATATATGTTCTGGACTCTGGACAATTGCACCCTGGGCATGGCATAATTGCATCAAATTCATCCCAACACTCACGTAATCTAGAGTAGTAGCTAGATACAGTGGAAGTTCCTTGAGACATTGTATGAATCTCCTTATAAAGGTAGTGAATCCTAGATCCATCAACCTTATCAAATCATCCCTTTAGATCGATCCATACCTTTGAAGCATTAGAAGCATAGATGACACTACTCAGTAAATCCTTCCTGATAGAATTGATAATCCATGAGAGCACTATGGCATTGCACTTTTCCCACAGATCATGAAGAGAAGAAGGAAAAGCTTCTCTAGGATGTTTACCATCAACAAATCCCAATTTGCTCTTTCCCAGCAACCCTAGACGCATTGATCGGCTCCAAATTGCATAATTCTCCTGTCCAGTAAGCTGAATAGAGACTAGAGAGCTTCCTGGTGTATCACTTGGATGAAGATACAATGGATGATGATGATCAATCTCTACAACCTGAGTAACTGCTGATGTGTTACCAGTCTGATCCTCAATCGCCATGAATACGCACCGAGAATTGGTAATCTAAAACTGAAAGAAATACAGCGGAATAACAACTAGGTTGAGAACCTAGGCTCTGATACCATGATAAGATGCAGAGTATTCAATAATGGAGGAAGAATTATAGAGGAGATGTGTGAAGATACATGGGAGAAGAGAAACTGAGATACCTTCTCATTATCAATCAACACAACTAACTTGAGCAAAGCTCATACATCAGTATTTAAAGCTAAATGCTACAGCTTAACTAACTCTGACAGAATTGTAACTAACTTGTTTAACAAACTAACTAATCAACTAATTAATCACAAACAACTTTAATTAAACTTAATTGGACAGCTGGCATATACGTATAACTTCACACCAATCATAGTTATGTCGGCACCACGTCATTAATTTTATTTTTTTTAACTTATTCATCATTTTTTCTTATAAACTTTTTGAAATTATTTCACACTAATTAATTAATTTAAAACGCATTTTCTAAAATGAAAATTCAAAATGTGGATCCATTTTCATCCCTCCACTCCCTCCCTTTCTTTCTTCTTTCTCGCTCTTTACTATTTTCAGCCCTTCACCGCTCTCTTTTTTTCTTCACTATTTAATACTATTTAAAAATATATATATATAGAGAATGAACCATTACAAATTTACAATACTCATGCCCCCTATAGAGAAGGATCCATTACAAATTTACAATACTCATGCCCCCTATAGTTACAAATTTACAATACCCATTGCCCCCCCCCCCCCCCACCCCCTCCAGTCTGTCCCTTGGGAGAATGAATTTTCTTGAAAATAATTCATATTATTAACATCACAAATAATAATAAATAAATAAATAAAAATAGGTCAGTTAAAATCCTAGAAAATTTATATTTGTGAAATCGACATCAAAAATATGATGTTGGTGTTAGATTTTGTGAATTACTAAGGGATTGATGGAATGGAGGTAGTGGGCAGAGTTGGAAATGAAGATGGAGGAAGAGGTGACTAAGGAGGAGTTTGTGCTTCAATGGAGAAGAAGTTATATTTGGAAAAGCAATTATTAAAAAAAAAAAGATTAAAAGTTTTTGGATATTAAGAAAATTCACATATTTTTTTTATAAGTTAATATATATAAAAATAATAATATTTAAAGTATTAGTTATATATCGACTAGTAAATAAAATATCATGAGTACAATTTTATACATTTAGTTTTTTTTTTTTTTAAAATCATGGGCTTTAGAAGAGTGAGTGCGCTCACTATGCCACGTCAATCCTTATGGGTATATTTAAATCACTTGAGAATTGTTAAGAAGATATTTAAATGCCCGTTTAATTAAAGTGTTAAAGTAAGATTTGCTATCAAATTTGAGGGTGATTTTATTTTTTATCTCTAGAAAATAATATTAGATTTTACAATAAACTTCTACAAGAATAGTCTACTTATAATATTAATGAACTTAAACAAAAATATATAAACACATAGGTTTAAAAATAAAATATTATATATATATATATATATTAAAAGATGTGACATAAATTAGGCTTTAAAATGGTAAAAAATTATTCAGAGGATAATATATATATATATATATATATATATATATA